TCTTTCTTTCTTTCTTTCTTGATATTGAACCTATGGCCTTTCACAAGGTTAGCATGTATCCTGCCACTGAGGTACACCCCCAACCCTTTTAATTTTTTTGAGACAGGACTTTTTTGAGACTAAGTTGCCCACCCTGGCCGGCCTTGAACTTGTAATCCTCCTGCCTCAGCCTCCTGAGTAGCTGTGATTATAAGCATGCATCACTGCCCCTGGCTGATATGGTGCTTCTTAAGACACTAGGGCAGTGAGAGACCTTCTAATACATACTGTATACATTTGGGTAGGTAGCAAAGCTAACTTTTAGACATTTTAAATAATTATTAAGACCACCCTTCTGCTGATGTATGCCAATATTTTGCACTCGAATACAGCTTTTTCTTATTTTCTAAGTATGTATCTGTTATCTCTTTATCAATGAAGTTAGTAAGAACTGTTTTTATAACCTTGCTCAGTTTTTACCCTGAGACAATATTATTGTACCTAGACATCTTTTAAAATAACTACTTTGCTCCTGCACTTTATGTGTGTGTGTGTGGGGGGGGTATTTAATTTGGAAAAAGATTTAGATTTACAAAGTGTCATTAAGATAATACAGAGAGATTCCTGTGTTCTCCACTCGGTGAGATTTTTGTCCCTTTACTACTCCCAAGGATATCTGAAAATGTCTGGAGGCATTTTTTAGTTTTTCCCAATGGGATGTGCTGCTGACGTTGAATAAATTTAAAGAACAGTAGGTCCTTGACTTTACAAACATTCGAGTTGCAGACTTCCACAGGTGTACTATAGAAGACTCACTTTGTTGGCTGATGAATGAATCCAACTTCTGAACAATTCTCCCAGATCGGAACTCGTTCATAAGTCGGGGACTTATTGAACTTGAATTCCTGCTGAGAGGTAGTGTGGTTCCATGGCAATGGGGACAGAGGTGAGCATTTCGGGGCACAGGTGTGTTGATGGAATTGTCTGCATCCGTCTACTGCTTTATTTTCCATTATAGGACTTGTATTCATTTACTTGTTTATCTTTGTCTCCATCCCCTTAGAAAGCAAACTCCACGAGGAAGGGAATTTGCTTTGCTTATGTTGTATTCTTTGGCTCTCTAATGGGGATTACCCTGAAAGTCGTGCTGGAAGGGTCATGTGAAGATGCTTCAGACGGGAAGAACCACACAGGCCAAGTATCCAAATGACACAACACCTGGCTTCTGGCCTCCTCTAGGGTGTCCAGAACACTATTTTGAATTTGTTTAATTCAGGTACATGGCATGTGCTACACATAATATTCCACATCCTATCTTTTTCACTTGTTGGTATACTTTAAGATTCTTAGTTTTACTTAAGAATAGGTAGTTCTAGTTCAGGGGTGCTTTTGGCCCTCAGGGAATATTTGGTGATGCCTGGCGACATTTTTGATGGTCACAAGTAGAGGTGGTACTAACGATAACTAGTGAGTAGAAGCCAGGTCTGCTGGTGAACGTCCTACTCTGTGCAGAGTAACACCATAGTCCACAATTATCTGGCCTGAATTGCTGCACTTTAGAAACCTTGGGCCGTTTCTTTCCTTTAGTCTGTGGCATAGTATTCTTAGGCTATCTTTACCCATTCCCCTACTGATGGATATTCACGTTGTTCCAGATCTCTGCTGTGATGAAGAGCACTGCTGCTGTCTGTGTGCACAGCAATTGCTGGTAGCCACACTCTGCTCTAGGAAACACTTTGCAGATGCTGCCATAGAGTAGCTGGCCCTATTGGCGCCCACAGCACTGCTTGGGGCTCCAATTCCATGCACCTTTACCAGCACCCGGAATTATTTAACTTTTAAATTTTTGCCAAATTTGAAAGATTTACAATTGTTCTGTTTTGTTTTGTTTTCTGGGTACCGGGGATCGAACTCAGGACCTTGCGCTTTTGAGGCAGGCGACGGAAACACTGAGCTAAATCCCCAGCCCTTACAATTCATTTTTAACAATTTGGGATTTTTTTGATTATTAGTAAGGCCAGATAAAAAGAATCATTCACAACCTAAAGCACTCTACATGAAGTTAGTGGAAATATTGTTTACCACTCATCACCCCCGTCAAGATGCAAATATTTTTTGGCAAGCACGCACCACTTCATTTTGTTCAATTTTGTATCTTTGATGGGTATTATAAAACTGTACATTTTGGGTGACTAAACCTGTTTTCTTGCCAGAAGAGGTCACTGATGCTCAGTGGTTTGTCCCCAGTGTGATTTTTGACCTCCCCACTGCAAGGTTTATTTGGCGACGCCTGGAGAGGCTCTTGGCTGTGACAACAGCAGGGCACTCCTGCCACCGATCGGTGGGAGGCCAGGGTGCTGCTTCCACCCCCCGGGCACAAGCCAGTCCCCAACCAGAAAGAATGATCTGGCCCCAAATGGCAAGAGGGCCAAGCTGGAGAACCCACGGGGCAGAGTCTCTGAAAGAAAGAACGTGACAATGTCTGCTGATAAAGTTGTCAACTTTTATTATTTCATAAAATAACAACAAACATCTAACTAGAGCGCCCTGGCAAGAGGCAAGTGCAGGGCTTTGCAATGAGCTCTTCAGCTGAGATCCTGGCACGGGGCCGGGGGCAGCCTGGTGGCTGGGCGACTCCTAGTTGGGAGGAATGGATGAGCTATAGCTCGGAGTGGCAGGAGCAGGTGCCACGGGCCTGAACATTTGGGACTCCAGGAGCCCAGCAGGCTGTGTGTACTGGAGGGGAGGGGCCACCACCAGGCTGGGCCCCGGGAAGGGCAGGAAAGGCAGGAAAGGCGGGCAGGGCCGAGGCCCCCAGTAGGGCGGCAGCACGGGGACAACTGCCTGGAACGGGGCAAAGCAGGCCGGGGCGGGACTAACGCAGGCCGGGCAGCAGCCCAAGAAGAAGGCTCCCGCGGGGCTGAGAGGCGGGCGCAGGTCCGGCGGGCGTGGGACCGGCGGGCGTGGGACCAGCGGCCCGGGCCTGGGCACGAAGGCGGAGGTCGTTTCGGACCTGCTGTACACCGGCTGGAAGGCGGACGGCTTGGGCTTGGAGCTCTGCCTTCTCCTCTTAGGCGCAGGGACCTCCGAGGCGAGCGGCGAGTCCCACGTCCAGGGCCCGCTGGGGCAAGGCCCGAGGGCCATCCTCTCGGCGTGGACCGGGCCCCAAGTTCCCGCGCGGGCCACCGCCAGCTGCTCCTGGAAGTGAAGGGAGCTCAGGGCAAAGGTGACCCGCGGAGGGCCCGGCGGGGCGGCCCGGGGTGCTCCCGGGCCCTCTGGGCCCTGGCCTGGGCCCGGACAGACGGCAGGGGACAGCGCGGCGGGGGGACGCACCTGGACCTCCCAAGGCGGGAGCCCCACGGCGGGGGCGGGCGTGGGGCCGGGGGCGGTGGCGGACCAGGCCAGGGCTGGAGCTGGCCAGGGGCCTGGCGCCGCAGGGGCCTGACCGGGAGAGGCGGGCACCTCCGAGGGCACCCTCCAGGGTGTCGCCATCCGGGGCCGGGGTGGGCTGGCTGCCGCCTCAGGCGAAGCGCAGTGGCGAAGCGCGGGCCGCGGTGACGGATGGTTTCCGGGCGCTGCCAGGCGCGGGGGGGCACTGGGTACGCGGCGACCTCTGACCTCAAGGATCCAGCTGTGGCCGCTGTGGCACGAGGCCACCCGGCGCGACGGTGGCTGCGACGCCCCATGCCCCTGGAGAACGCAGAACGCTGCGGCCTCCGCGCCGCCCTGGCCATGGCTGTGCAGGGGCGCAGCTCTGGCTCCAAGGGCCTAGACGCGGGCCGGACCTCTGTGCCCGACGCGGAAACCCAGTCTGCGGGCAGTGTGCGCTGAGAGAGGTCCTGGGGGGCTCTGGACAGAAGCCGCTGTCTTTCATCGGTGGAAAAGGGGACGCAATGTGCTCGCGTGCAGTTTCCAGGAGAAACAAATAAGCCCTTCACTTGGATCAGCAAGGCTTGATGGATGTGTCAGTCTTGGGGAATGGACGTTGACGCCACTTTCTGCAATTTAGCTACTGAGGAAATGGCCCAGACCATCTAGGATTTGTGCGTTATCATTGGCCATGTTGATTCTACGTGGCTTCTTCTGTAACTGTCAGCCTTCGCGCCTCCATGTGTAAACGTCTTTTCTCTCTACACTCATGCCATTTGTCTTTTCACTTATACTGGAAATCATGTGTGTAAAATATAGCGAGTCATAATTCCAACTTGCAGTTGAAAAGCATGGAGCTCCAAAACACTGTTGTCAAAGGCCACTGGTTATTTGATTACAGCTTTTAAGTGTGGAGATCTGTCCAAGGTGACAGAAAACAATTGTTCTTGAGACTCTTTTCTTCAAGATCTCATGCAGAATACACCTCTTGGGATGGTTCCAAATCCGGGGAGGGAGAGCCACAGAAATAGAGGCAAATCGACCAAATATTTAATCAAGAGCATGATGAACAGATTCTTTTGGCTCCGAGAGGGCTGAATGGGCAGGGCACCAATACACTCGATGGGGAAACGACAGGCTTGTGTGGTTTAAAGAGGTCAAGTACTGAGGAAACTGAGAGGCTGACAGCCACTACGTGATGGAGGAGATCCATACTGCTCCCCACTTCCTATTCCTTTTTTGAAGGGGGATTCCTTTTCATTCCTTTTAAGAAATGGTGTCCAAGCATGTGATTTTGAACCAATTAGAATTTCCTATATAATTTTTCTTTCTGTATTCCTTCAAGTGTTAGTTACGACTCTCCAGACAACTAAGATACTTTGTAGGACAGCAACTGTGCCAGAGTGTACCGTTCAATACTATTTGTGATGATTTATTATTATTTTTGTTTGCAGTACTGGGGATTGAATTCAAGACCTCATATTTGCCATTGAGCTACATTCCTCGCCTTTTTAATGTTTTTTTGAGAAAAGAACTTGCCCAGTTGCTCATATTGGTCTTGAATTTGTAGTCCTCCTACCGCAGCCTCTCATGTAGCTGGGATTACAAGTGTGTGCCACCAGATCTGCTTTGGGATGCTATTCTTCTAATGTATTTTTTTCTTTCCATTGTCTGCAGAATTTCCCATGTGCTACTTTGCAATGTAACTCAGAGGGTGTCATTCTGGTTTGTGGTTACAGACCCTTTGAAAAATCATACTCTTCCTGCTGATGAAGTACAGTGGGCCATCAGGTAATTACCCTTAAATGCGCCCTCTACTGGCCAGTTTGCTAATTAACTCAACTTTTCATAGATACTGAAGTTCTCATTCTCCATCTACTCACGTAGGATTTATTGAGTAAAATGTTAGAGATTTCATTTTGTTTCTATTAGGAATCAGTGTAGACAAGTGGTTCCTATCCAATGACAATTTTTCCTTCAAGCAGACATCTGGTAATGTCCGGACACATTTTCCTTGTCACAACTTGGGGAAGGTGCCACCAACATCAAGTGGCTAAACTAAGCTAGGAATGTTGCTAAACAACCTACTATGCATAGGACACAAAGAATTATTTAACCCCAAATGTCAATCGTGCTGCGGTCGAGAAACTCTGGTTTAAAAATTAGCTAAGAATGTTTATTATTGTCTTCTTTGGGCAAGAACCTTTGTATGGCTCTACTGTGATGGGATCATCACAGGGACTCTGGAGCAGCCACGCATAGGTTCTTAATTTGGCTTTGCTTTTTACTATTTGAATACATACAAGGTATTACCCTCTCTTTGCCTTCCTCTCATCATCTGTGAAATATAATTACGGTTTCCTTCCCTCAGAGCTACCTACTGAGATTCAAAGAGTTAATCATTGTAAGGAGTTTTGAGCAGTTAGTCATACTTTTGAATTTTATTGGAAAACCAAGAAACATATTCTCATTTCTTGTTTCTCTAAAGACTAACCTTTTTCAGTCAACATAGTCTTTAGCTTTAAAAGATAATTAAAAACAAAATAATAACTCATACATATAAGTTAAAACTGAATACTATTTATTACCTCAGTTAATGAGGGAACCAGGAAAATGTTAAAACATTTTTCAAGGTGGCTTCAATGACTGAGGAGTGATGGACTACATCACTCCTCAGATGCATCTGTGTGTCTATCAGTCAGTGATCAATAGTGTTCCACCAGACATAATTCACTTGATTTTCTATGGACAAGAATATTTCCATTATGCTATTTTTCTAGAAATTATAGATTTTCAGAATAGCTCAAAGACAGTAAGTCGTAGAAATGGCCCAGAAAGATGCACTAGGCAAGACATTTGGTAAAAATGAACAGTAATTAATTTTTTTTTATTTTTAAGGAATTGCATTTTATTTTTTATTTTATCTTATTTTATTGCAATATTGGAGATTGAACACAGGGTCTCATATGTTCTGGGTAAGCACTTCTCCACTGAACTACATCCCCAGTTATCTTATTTTATGGGACAGGGCCTTGTTAAATGGCCTGTGTTGGACTCGAACTTGAGATCCTTCTGCCTCAGGCCTCCCAAGAATTTTATTTAAAAAAATGTAGGCTAGGGTGTAGCTCATTATTAGAGGGCTTGCCTAGAATATGTCTTCTGGGTTTGAGTGACCCCTCTTTCCCATCCTGCTCTGTCACTCCATTCTGACCTCTCAGCCCCCGTCCCAACTCCTCCTGTAGTAATCTTTTATTTTTTGCCTGATTTCAGTCTTTCACAGTTTTTCCTGACATTTGTTCCCCTTTATTCCTTGAGATTATAACTAAGTTTCAAAAGTGAAACTAGTTTTTACTTTCTTTTTTTTTTTTTTTTTGGTACCGGGGATCGAACTCGGGTCCTTGAGCGGCGGCGAAACCACTGAGCTAAATCCCCGGCCCCTAGTTTTTACTTTCAAGAAGCAAAAAGATGCAATTTGTTTTGCTTTCAATTAATGTGTACTTTGTGTGCATCAGAACTTTGAATAGCGCACGTGATTGATGCTGGGCAAAGGTATATGGAAGAATGAGTTGAGGAAGTAAACTGTTTTCATTTTTTTTTTTTTTTTTTGGTATCAGGGATTGAACTCGGGACCTTTTGCTTTCGAGGCAGGCGGTGGAACCACTGAGTTAAATCCCCGGCCCTAAACTGTTTTCTGAACAAAGAAAGACCGAAGCAAAGTACCCTTCCCCACAAAAGATTTACAAGTTACTGAAATGCTTATTTTTTTTCTTTATAAAGGAGAAATACCTAGTGAAAAATCCTACTTGCTGTCTGTAAAGAATTAACACTTATGATAATGAATATATAATCAAATGCCAAAAGTTTTTGTGAACAACTATTTCTTGCTGAAGCAGAGGGCCTAAGGATCTGTATCAATGGGAAATGGTTTAATCTGCTCGAACAAGGGGGTTTGGACTAAATTGTTTCTGCACTTTTCCCACTAAGAAAACTCCTAAGTCCCACCACTTAAGGAGTAATAATTAGAAATACAAAATTCCATTCAAGCCTTGTGATCTGAGAGGGCTTCAAAGAAAATGAAGACACTGTAGTTAAACCAGTCTTGAGTTGATGTGAGGAGGAAGAGTGAGTGCTTGAGGTAAAGGCAGGGAAAATTGATAAATATGCTCTCAACACAATGTCTTATTTCAGAGGTCCTAGCAGGGGAAGCCATAAAGGAGGTGGGGAATGGCCAACCGAATAAGAATTTATATTAGGAATGAGTAGGGTGCCTCAGCCTTGGATGAAAAGAAACCAGTACCAAAAAAGAATAGAGTGCAAGAAAAGGAGATAGTACCTAGAGGTAATAGGAATTTCAAAGTTGAAGAATCCATGTGGTTGAGCAAAAATTCTAATTCTACCTAATATTTGTGCCACACTTTCTGGTTCACAAGGTCTTACGCATCTATGGCACTTAATACTAACACTAATAATTTTTGAGTAAAGTAATTATTATTATCCCTCGTTTATAAATGAGGAAACTGGGCCAGGGATGTAGCTCAGTGGCGCCACAACCTGCTTGGCAAGCTCAAGGTCCTGAGTTTGATTCCCGGTACCGGAAAAAAAATGATATATATAAATGAGGAAACTGAGGTTCAAGGAGATTGATTTGCTCAAGCGATGCTAGAAAGAAAATGAATAGATGTGTGCTGGCACCATATCTACAGTGATTTTGAGTCTATGCTAGAGTATACACACCTGTGAGATGAGGCAAGGGAATGAGCAGCCAATTCTAATGTGTCTGTTGTAGCTCTTTTGGGGAGGAGTGGGGAAAACTTTTATTGATCTGACCAGCTTTCCTAGTGGCAGGCTCAGGCAGAACTTCCCTTTCTGCCCTGGCTCTCACCTTCCCTCTCTTGGGAGTTCATGGGTTACCTTAGGAGAGAGAAATCCCAGGGAGGGGTGACAGGCAGGGCCAGGGGAAAATACACAGGGGTGGGACCTGAAAGAGGCTCAGGGAGGTGTAGGAAAGCTGGGGTTGCCACCTCATCCAGATAAAACATCCATACAGGCAGAGGCAGGCAACCCCCCTGGGCGGGCCCTTCTAACCTTGCCAGCATGGGACGGTCGGGAGGAAGAGCGCCCCCTAGAGGCTCCTACTGTGCCCTTCTTGCCATCAGCCTTCCACCAGTGCCCTCAGCTTCCTTAACGCTCCACTCCAGATAGGACGTTTTCTTCTCCAGCTCCTTAATGTTTTCTCTGCCTATATTTCTGACGGAATTATTTCCATGGATTGAAAAATAAACATTCTTTCCTACATCTTCATACATATTGGTTTCATCTGCCAAAGTCATAATCTATAACTGAAAGATGTGCATGTTTTTCATTGTGCTTAGCTGTTCAGTCTGTCTGTCTGCAAACTTCACCTTCTGTCGAGTGTCAATAACTTTGGCTTGAAACTCTGTGAAACTTTTCTTCAACTCCAGATCTACAGGGGTGCTATTTTGGTGCACTTCCTGTTGTAGTTTATTTACGAAGGCCAGGCCTAGTCCAAGCCTGGTCTTGGCCGAAAGATATACGTAGTGGTTGACACCAGTAGTGAAGAATACTTAATCTGGTTTTGACCAGTGTTTGTTGAGCTAGAACTTCCAGTCAGCCTGAGAAGGGAAGGAGTACATTCCTAGTGAGAAGGTTAACCAACTAGGTAGATAGAATCAGTATTCAGGGTGACTTTTCATTTTTCTCTGAGGTATAGCTTAGCAGTGGGGTTCATTAACTTGTGGAAAGGTTTGTGTTCCAGATTATCAGCATTAGATTATGAGAAAGGAGACCATGCCATAGTTTGGTAAAAATTACATTTAAATTATTCCTTGATATAGATTTTCTGCTAGGGTTTCTTTTTCACATCCATGAATAATCACTGCTTCAGCATAGATTTTTTTTGTATGTGGCACTGGGAGTCCAACGCAGGACCTCATATATACTGAGCAGTGCTCTACCAGTGAGTAGCGCCCCCAGCCTTTAGTGTAGATTTTTATTTGCTAAAGGAGATCTTTCCTGATGGCCCAGTGGCTGGCCTGCAGAGATTCTCAAGCCATTACTATCGGACTCTAGACATGGATTGTCCTATCAAGCACTTGAACTGTGGCCAGTCCAAAATGTATGTGTAAACTGCACACCAGATTTAAAAGACAGCACAACATAATGTGAGAACCAACTCAATATTGACTGCATGTTGAAATTATGTTTTCTTGAATATATTGGACAAAAATATATTATTGAAATTAATTTTACTGGTTTCTTCAAATTTTTTTTTAGCACAACCACTAGAGAATTTTAGGTTATACAAGGTTCCCATTATATTTTTATTTTCCAGGGTGTTCTAAAGGTAGATGAAATCTGCTTGTGTAGTGTAAATTTAGTAAAGGCCTTGGGGCCGGGGATTTAGCTCAGTGGTTTTGCCACCTGCTGTGCAAGCGCAAGGACCCAAGTTCAATCCCTGGTACCAAAAAAAAAGGCATGCACCACCACGCCTGGCTAGTAAAGGCTGTAAAGTATCTCCAAGGAATCTACTTACCTAGTTTGCAAATTCCAAGTGGAAATTCATTCATTTGTTTTCAGTTAAATAAATCTTTACCACCAACCCCTCCTTGACTGCCACCATCACCCAAAATGCAGATTTTCCCCAAGGAAAGTATTACATTTACCTTTATATTTTTCTACACTTTTCGACTCCTGAACCACCATTGCCTTCAGCCATATGGAACCACTTGCTGTTTCCTGAACAAGTCATACTTTACCATGACTCCATTCTTGTGTTCGTTTTGCACTTAGGTCTAAAGAACTCCTATTTGTCCCTCAAAACACCGCTTAAAAATTGCTCTACAGAAAAGCAGCCCTGACTTTTGTCTGTAATATATTTGGCCTCCCCTGTGCTACCACTGTGCCCATCTTTGTCTGTTCAACAGAACTTACACACTGCATTGGGTTTGTGGATGCATAATCAGCCACCCTTCTATACTGTAAGCACCTATGTTTATTTCACGTTGTATCCCCAGTACCTAGCACAATATCTGATACTTAGTAAGATTCTGACAAGCATTTGTTCAGCTAATGGGAAAGAAATCAAGTTGATGGATTTGAAGCCACTCTTACTTTATGTTTTCTTTTTCAGTCTCTGTTTTTCTTTTCTTCCCATATTTATCATCCACTCTGGGCATTTAATTTTATTTCAAGGGGCTATGGGTATTTATGTAAGCCACCTTAAGCAGAATTCTGCCATTCTAATCTAGACGCTGCATCTCAGGGAATCAGACATGGGGGACAGAGCTCAAAGCTCAGGACTCACGGTTAGTTTTGGGACATTCTCAACAAAGGAGGGCAGGTGTGCACAGATGGGCATCGCTGGCAGCCAGGACTGCAACTACTAAAAGCAAGCACAGCATGATTGTCTTCAGCAAACTTTCTAACCAACCTGAAGTCTCCTGCTAGGACAATGCTTTGTTTAAAGAGATATCTATTACCAGGGAAAGCCAGGTCTGTACTTGGTTTCTAAAGTTTTTTTCTCTTATTTTCTTTTTAATTATTATTGCATTTTTAGAATGAACCGGAACCGGATCAACAATGTCTTCTTTTTGAATGACCAGACTCTGGAATTCTTAAAAATTCCTTCCACTCTTGCACCACCCACAGACCCATCTGTGCCCATCTGGATTATTATATTTGGTGTAATATTTGGCATCATTATAGTTGCAACTACACTACTGGTTTTGTCAGGGATCCGGCAACGTAGAAGGTAAGATACTTAAAGGGAATGATTCAAAGGGCATTTGCTTATGTTTTCATGACTTATAAAAATGAGAAGATTTTTCTCTGGTTGAAGGTAATGCCTCAAACTTGAAAAATTCTTCATTTTCAAGATGTCACTTAGTTTTTTGTCTTGTTTGGTTCGTTTTAGAGTCCAATGACCCTTACTTAATGTGATTCTTTTCATTATTTTCTTTCTCTCTATTCTATACTATATGAATGTCTCATATTCAGACTTAATTTTCGTATCTGTGGTGCGGTTTTATATACTGAACACACAGAGCTAAGCAGACTTTTCGGGTAGTCAGAGTTAATCTTTCATAGTCATCCATGTCCAAATGCCAACTCCACAGCTCCACAGTTCCTTCAAAGCCTCTCTACCTTGGCTTGCCTCTTCGCCTACAGGCCACACTCTCATCCCAGATGCCTTGTGCTGCTTCATTCATCCCTCCCATTGCTGGATGTGCATCTCTCTAGTGCCTGTGATAGATAGTGACATTTGGGTTTCTCCTGGCCTTTGAATCAACTCCATGCATCAGAAATACGTGGAACACTTGTTTTACTCACCAAGTTAGAATCTCTGAAGGGGATGCATTTTAATGAACATCCAGGTTATCCTAATTCACTTAATTTGAGAGTTTTCAATATTTATTTATTGTGGTACTGGGGATTGAACCCAGGGTTTTCTTTGTACTGAGGTACATGGTGTGATCAAAATATACAGTGAATGTTTAAAATTTAAAAAAATGTATAATAGTTAAAGACACATTGCCATTAATCGTCCTCAAGGCACCCACCCTCACTTCAAACACACTTAAATCATTGTTCTTAGAACTTTCTGAAGCAATTCTGGAAGTCCTCTTTCACGATTTTATGAGGTATGATCAAAACTATGGGGAATGCTGCCACCAAGTGCTGTCCAAAAGAAGGGGTCATAAAGACACTATGGCATGTCCTCATCGACCTTGCTCATCAGATTTGGCACTGTGCAACTTCTCTGGCTCTTTCCCAAAGTCAAAACAACCGTGAAAGGTAAACATTTTGAATCCATTCAGGATATCCAGGCAGCCACAACAATGCAACTAAAGACAAAACTGCTTCAGAAAGGGGATAAATGTGTTCAAAGCAAGGGGGAGTATTTTAAGGGGATTTAATGGCAATGGGTCGTTTACTCTAATCAATTTTTAAAATTTAAACATTCACTGTAATTGTTAATCATACCATATATATTCCTATTCCCTTTTTATGCTTTAAATTGAAATGGGATCTCTCTCATTTGTTAAGTTGCCCAGGCTGGACTCGAACTTGTGATCCTCCTGCCTTAGTCTCCCAGAGTGCTGGGATCCATGCCCCACAAAAACTTCCAATTTAACAAATTATACATAGGATCCTACTTCTTGAGTTCATTTACCTGGGTTCTGGGGCCACTTGCAAACTTTGCTGTCTGAATGGCTGATATTGCTTCCAGAGGGCATTTCAGACCAGGGGGAGAGTTACTGAGGTAGTGAGAAGGAAAGGAGGCAGGATTTCTCAGCATGGTGAAAAAGGAATAGAATTTTGTTTATAAATACCTCTAATCCAGAGGCAAAGATGAGAGATGCCTCAGATCTTCAGTAAATACTTTAACGCTTCTAAACCTTCTGTTCTGCTCCCAAGGAAGAGGAATTCTGATAAATGGGAATCATAGGGACAGGCATTCCAAAGTCCCAGGGACACGATTTTCAAGTGTTGGATGTGTGTGGCCAACTGTGTGTTCAAGTAAATGCATCTCTTGATGTTTACTACTTTTCATGTTTTACCCTAGTTACTGACAGGAAGCATCTTAAATCTTAGACACTGTAAATTTTTTTCACAAATAATAGATGGAATAGCATGGAATAAATGTGTCTATGCCTCAAATTAAACACTAGATTATCACCAAGTTGTTCTTGCTTGATATTCTTAATGATCTTGACATGACATGTAATGAAAAAAAACTTGACATGAGGTGTTTGTTTTGCTTTTTGTTTTCAGAGTATTAAGAAAATTCTCTTGCAACATTAGAATACCTATGTTTAGTCATTTTAAGTTTAGTATTAATTTTGAGATATTGTGTTTCTGTAGTTTCAAATGATTGGCTACCTGAATGAATTCACTTCATCTCCGTGGTTCCCAATTTCTTCATTAATACAATGTAATGTAGGAGTTAGAAGAAGGGATTCTGGAGATAGACCACTTAGATTCAAAATATCTCTTAGACTGTGCACTTGTGTATAATCCTTTAACTGTGTAGATATCAGGAAGCACAAACAATGAGTCAATGAAATCAAATTTGGGAAAATATGGTTTGTGGTGCTAGAGTCAAGCTGGCTGAATTTATCTTTACTGTCTGCACATAGATAACTTTTCTAGAGCAACAGCAAGGTATACTGGAAATAATTAACTCGATAGAATAAAGCAGTCAATACTGTAGAGTGCTTAGAGTGGTACCTGGCACATAGTGAGCACTCAGTAAGTGTTAGCTGTTACTATTATTTTATCATCTTGCCATTTGCTGGTCTTTTAGCTAGTTTGTGATAGGATCAGCTATTTCCTTCTCGGCAGATTCTGCAGTGATATAGTATTTGGGTGCATAGCATTATAATCCGTTGCCTGGGAGAAATGAGGCTGTTGTTAACTCCTCACCTTCATAAATTCATTTCATGTTCAGACTAGGAAAGCAGATGGACAGATCTCTTGTGTAAACTGGAAAGCATCAATAATTAGCAAATATGGTGAGGACAATTATGACAACTTCCTGGAGATAAATTGTTTGTTGTGTTTTAAGTTTGATACAATCTGTGGTAGCTTTGTTGTGGGCAAAATATTGCTTCTAAGATGAACAAAAGGGGAAATCTGAAGTGCGGGGATCCCTAATAATTGTGATGAAAACTCTTTTTATCATGGAAAAGATAAGAGCTGCTCTTCCTTAAGCCTTTAGTCAAGCCTTGAGCTGCTAGTCCTCAAGCCTTGAGGAAGACAGAGAAATGTTTAACAATCCAGTCCATCCATTGGTAATAATGAATATAGTTTGTATGGTCCAAAAATCGTGAACTTAAATGATCTGCAGGGACCACAGCGTCATCTAAGTCATATGGAAAAGAGCGTCAGAGTCATCTGGGATGTATGCATATTTAAAATTACTGTTGAAGAAATGTGTCATGCAAACTGTTAGTGATTCCATTAGTTTTGTCAATAACAGCATCATGTTGATTATAATGTGGAGCGTGTGCGTTGGAGTCCAAACTAAGTAAACTCAAATACCAGCTGTGCTGTTTACATACATGATCTTGGTCCAGTCACCTAATTTCTGTGGGTCTCAGTTTTTCCATCTGCCCCTGGAACACAGTATCTCTTAGGGCTTTCATAAAGACTAAATGATATAAATGCTGCATAAAGTACTCTGAATATAGTATGTTAAACAAACAGCAATTATTATTATTTAAGAACAACTTAAACCATTTCTGTGATTAAAGGGTGCTGGGAAACTATCTTTTTTCCACATGATATTGCCACAGTCCTTTAAGATAATTCTCCAGTTTACTGACTCATTGCTTGGGATTTTATTAGTTAGTAAACATCTATTCTTTTTTTTATTTTAAAGGCATAGTTGACAAAATTGTATATATGTTTATGGTATACAAGATGTGCTTTGGTATATATATGTATATGTATATATATATATATGTATTGTGAGTGGTTAAATCAAACTAACATATCCATCACCTCACATACTTTTTTATATTTATTGAGTTTATTGGTACATTTTAGGTATATATTATGATCACATTGATCATTGGGAATTTGTACCTGTACATGATATATCTTGGTGCTTATTTTTTTTCCCATTCCCCTGCCCTTCCTTTAAGCCCCTCCACCACTCCCTATTTACATAAGTTTTTTTTCTTTTTTCCTTCTTTTTTCATTTTTTCTTTCCTTTCTTTCCTTCCCCGCCTCTAGTTCCCCTTCCCCTTTGAACAATTTCTTCCTATTTCACAATATCTATTATGCATTTTGATCCTTATTTTCACTTTCAGTTTCTCACACCAGAGAAACAATTTGGTATTTACACATGTGTGCCTGATTTATTTCACTTAAGAGTATGGCCTCAAGGTGCAGCATCCATTTAGCTATAAATGTCTCTAGTTTATCTTTCTTTATGGCTGAGTAGTACTCCATTTTAGAATCAACCACATCTTCTTTATCCAGTCACCAGTTGATGGGAGCAATGGGCTGTTTCCAAATTTTAGCTATTACAAACCGCCACTGTAAACATGCGTGCACATATATTGCTGCCATCACCTCACATACTTAGCTGTTTTTGTTTTGTTTTGTTTTGGTACTGAGGATTGAAGCCAGGGCACAGAGCTACATCCCAAGTCCTTTATTTTTTACTTGGAGACAGAGTCTCGCTAAATTGCTAAGTTGCCCAGCCTGGGCTCAAACTTGAGATTCTACTGCCTCAGCCTCCCAGAGTGCTGTGATTATAGGTGTGTGCCACCATGCCTGGCTACGCACTTAGCAATTTTTATGATGAGAACATTTAAGATCTACCGTCTTAACAATTTTCAAATATACATTATTATTAGCTATAGTCATCATGCAGTACAGTAGATCTCCCAAACTTACTCATTTTATCTAGTTGAAACTTTATACCCTTTGACCAAAATCTGCCTGTTCCTCTTCCCTAACTCCTGGCAGCCACAATTCTACTCTCTCTGGTTCCATGAGTTTGACTTTTCTTAGATTCCATATGTAAGTGAAGATCGTGTGGTTATTTGTCATTCTGTGTCTGGTTTATTTTACTAAGCATAACATCCTCCAGTTTCATAAATGTTTCAAACGACATGATTTCTTTTTTCATGTCTGATTTCATTTTATGTGTATATTACATTTTCTTCATCCATTAATCAATCAAACCACTGATGGATAGTCAGGTTTATTCCACACTTTGGCTATTGTGAATAATGC